AAAAAACATAAAATAGTACACGCAGCTTCCTGATTGTATAAACATCTGTATTAGAGGAATTTGTGATTGAATTTCTGATAGTACTTTTTCGTTCTGCAACTGCTTTTTTGAATTTTCTGTAATATTGAGACGAGAATCATAAAAGCAAACTTAAATGGTCATTATGAAAATCTATAAAAGGTGACATTTTATATTGCAGATAAGTATTTACAATAATAATATTTATGTTATTCCATTACGATGAAAGTAGGGTATATTTTAAAAAGTTTTTTTAAAATGTTATTATATTTTGACAAAACTACTAACATTTCTATATTAAGCATAAAGTTTTCATTTGTAAATATGTATAAAAACATGTAATGTTAGTACATATGTAAATATAAATGTATATTTTACATATTAAGTTCATTGAAATTATAAATAAAGTACCCTCCAGTTATAAATAACAAAACAAAAATAAAATGTTTAAGTGTGCATAAGGATGAGTATGTGTGCATTAATAATATGAATGCATGTACATTAGGGTATAACCAAAATTAGACCCTATTACTTACTACGTGGTAGCCAGTAGTGTTCTAATAACGAAAACCTTTTTCTCAAGTCAATTTGGTGCAAAAACCTCCCTGCAACTCGATTTTCTAAAACCTTTCAGAAAGAAACCGCCTACGTTATCCATGTTCTTTTTTCGTGTAAATGTCGTAGGTCAAACAATGACACTTGTATCAAAAGTTTCCGATTTTGTATTAATATATTTTAAATTTAGTTATAATATTGAAAACCTTGAAGCATTAGCCTCGGAAACTTTTTTAACGGAAAAAGTGGCATACTTTTTTATACTTTATGTGGAATGAATAGGACCGATTGGAAATTTTCAAAAATGTTTTAAAAATTGTGACCCTAATATACTTACAAACATATGTGTGAAAGTATGCATATTTATATATGAATTTCATGGCACATTTACAGAAATATTGCATACGAAGGAAAGGAGTGGTCTTAAGCCAGAGCAAAACAATGAATTTGCAGAATTACCAAAAAAAGGATTGTGTCATCATCAGTCGTTATTATGTGTAGTCATTATTCACAACATCATTGTCAACATAATCCATACAACCACACTAGATATTATACATAAATATGTAATACATAATATATACATATTTACAAACATACATAATACATACTTATGTATTATCATCATCGTTATTGTTTTAAGTTTGTTGATGTCGGTTGGTGGTTGTAATTGTTGTAGGAGCTGAATTAAATTGAGCTTATGTGATGGCAGAAAAGAATGACAAGTCATTTTTGTCAAGTATATAAATACATTCATAAAATGAGCCATAATGCTTAGTCAGGACCTAAGGGCTTGACCCAATAAATTCCCCAGGGTATTAATGCCGCACAAGTATTCACATTATTTAAATAATTGTCGCCTATTATAGCTGCCTCGTATACTATGAATATGTGTTTGTTTAAAAAATTAATTATATAAAAATAAACAAAATGTACATTACATTTACATTAATCATTAATTCAAAAGAAGAAATAATTTAAATATTCCAGAAAGCTTATTACCACCACAAAACAAGCAAACCATTGGGGATGCATTTTTAGGGGAAATAAAAAAAGTTTCCTTTTCTAATTTAATTTCATTTCATACAATTTAATTAATTTAATTATTGTTTATATTTCACAATGTTTGTTGGTTTAAGGAAAACAAAACATTTCATTGGGCGTCTAGATAAACATTTCAAAATTCATTTCTAACCTGTCCACAAATTTCACTTGTACAACAATGTAATTTAGAATAAAACTGTTGAATCAACAGGCAATTTAGTTTAGATGTTATTTATCTTGTAAAATAAATACACAAACAAACCCAATTTTTAAAAATATTACCTGAACTAAGGAAAATAAAAGTATTTTTTTAATAAATACAATCAAGTGTTATATGACTTTTTTGTGTTGTATGATAAATTAAGAACATTTGATTTTCGAAGATCAAAAAGATTTTAAATATTACCAGAAACCTTTACTATTAACATTTACTTTGTAATTTTATTTATTTATTTATTTATTTATTTTTTTTTGAAAAGATTTATTTCAAAAGATTTTAATTGTATTTCAAATGAAAATTTTCGAATAATATTGTAAATAGTTAATAGCGCTTTTATTTTGTTAGTAAGGTTCGAAAATTGTTCTGAGGTTGAAAATTTAGAACCAAAGATCATTAATGGAACAAATGGGCCTTTAATGAATTCAAAAATTAACACTTATTTTTATATTTGCTTAAAAAACATTTCTCAGGATGCACTAATTATTACATCATGACATGGTCCGAACCGATTTTTAACATTTTAAAAGATTCCCGCCCTTATTCATAAATGCTTAATAAAGATAATTTATTTCATGAATTTTGTATTGAAAATGTGCGTTATAAACCTAAGATTAACGATTAATATCTTTATGAATAGATCTAGCCGTCGCACAGTGGTATAGGAAAAAAAAAAAGAGGGAAATAATTCGGTAACTTCTAAACGGTTAATCCGATTTTAATGAAATTTGGTATGCACAAAGAGGAGGTGTTGTCGAGTTTAGGTTTTGAATTTGGACCTTATAGGCCATTTTTAAAACGATCCTATTTCTTCATTTGATTTCCGATTTAAAAAAAATTCGTATATAGAATCTCCTCATCGAGCACTATAAAAAATGTCGTCGTAGCAGTAAATTATCTCTTATAGTTTAGGAGATATTCGCATTTGAAAATTAAAATTTTAATTTTTACCGTCCTTACTTTAGTTTTTTTGATAATAGCGGGTCCAAATATTCCCGATTTTCGCCATTTTTTTTTATTCGCTTAACAACAAGTTTACATATCAAGCAGTGAAAGAATTATGTAAAAATCATGACTGAGTCCAAAGTTATAGGCATTTTAATTTAAAAAATAAAAAAAGGCGATTTTTTGTAATTTTTTTGGGAAAAAAGTATCTTTTTCTTTTTAAAAAGTTTCTAAGAAGATGTATATAGAATTTATACTTTTTGGAAAGCTGACTTTACATAAAGTACGATAAATGAAACAAGACCTAAAAACTTTTGATACCGAAGGGACCAGGTCCATCCAAAAAAACCCTATTTTTTATGGAAAATTCAATTTTGAGCAAAAATTCTCAAATCGCATAGTCGATATCAAATTATAGTGACCTGTTTTATATGACCCAATATGTTCTTAATCATTTTGTAACGGGTTTCGATAACCCCGCCACTGGTATGGATATAATAGGCAAAAAACCAAAAAATCTCATTTTTGGGATTTTTTAAAACTTTTTTGGGAATTCCGGGATTTCTAATAAGAAAATTCGAAATTTTTATTTAATTTTGGATTTTGAGTAAAAAAATCTACCTAACTGTAAAATTTCATCAAAAAATATTCATAAATAAAATTTTTATTGCAATTTGAAAAAATTGTATCTTCGCAAAAACTGAATAAAAAACATTTTTTAATTTTTTTTAAAAAAAGTATTCCGCGAATTTTTTAATTTTCAAAAATTATATACAGTTTTGAAAAAAGACAAAATTACCTTTCCATTGATGTATAACATGCCTACCTAGTGTTTTTAAGTGACAAATTAATTAGGGAAAACTCAACATCTTTTAGAAAATTTACATAGCACTATTATTTTCATCCATAAGGTTAACTCTTAAATTTGTTACATATATGGATTTTTTAGATTTTGTTTCATTTATCGTACTTTATGTAAAGTCAGCTTTCCAAAAAGTATAAATATATACATCTTCTTAGAAACTTTTTAGATAACTTAAAAAGAAAAAGATACTTTTTTCCCAAAAAAATGACAAAAAATCGCCTTTTTTTTATTTTTTAAATTAAAATGCCTATAACTTTGGACTCAGTCATGATTTTTACATAATTCTTTCACTGCTTGATATATAAACTTGTTGTTAAGCGAATAAAAAAATGGCGAAAATCGGGAATATTTGGACCCGCTATTATCAAAAAAACTAAAGTAAGGACGGTAAAAATTTTAAAATTTTAATTTTCAAATGCGAATATCTCCTAAACTATAAGAGATAATTTACTGCTATGACGACATTTTTTATAGTGCTCGATGAGGAGATTCTATATACGAAATTTTTTTTAAATCGGAACTCAAATGAAGAAATAGGATCGTTTTAAAAATTTAACATAGCCGAGGTGTCCTAATTTGAGGACCCCCCGCCGGGCCCCTGGTTGGCCTATAAGGTCCAAATTCAAAATCTAAACTCGACAACACCTTCTCTTTGTGCATACCAAATTTCATTAAAATCGGATTAACCGTTTAGAAGTTACCGAATTATTTCCCTCTTTTTTTTTCCTATACCACTGTGCGTCGGATTTACTTTAAGGTGTGGTTATTCCAAGTAATTTCCAAATTTTTTCAAATTTTATCGCGCTGTAATATTATTTACCTCAAAATTTAATTTAATTTTGATATTAATTTTGTGCTGCGCAAAAATATACTGGTATCGGAAACAAGTTCTATAATATCAGAGGAACAATTCCATTGTAATATCGATAGAACAGCTCTTATATAAGTCTAGACTCTAGAACTACACTTTACGAGTTAGGAACGAAATGAGCTACATATGCCGCCACATTCTATTAACATAAATTGCTTTTGATCACAGATTGTATATGTATGCAAATTGTAATATAAAATAATAATCGCTCACCAAATTTGTAAATATACAAATAAAGTTTCGTTTATCTTAATCTCATATTTATTTACTTTAAATAGTATCTTTATGTATAACGAACGTGTGAAAATTTTCGGCAGAAATTTCTTATTCTACTACTATGTTCACTTTTTTGTTTGTCTGACTGTCTATCTATCTATCTGACCTTCTTCTTTTGTTTGCTATGTGTGCTTCTACATAAGTAATATTTATCTAGGTTTACAACAATTCACAAAATTAATAGATGTTTTATGAAAAAAAAAACTTACCCGTACGTTATTTGTAAGTTGTTAATTTGCAATTTGTTATACGTTTTCTTTGCCTTCTTATTAAGTGTTTTATTTGATTGTTTCCCCTTTTTTAGGCAGGCGGCAGTGGTTTATTTAATGTGCGTGTTTTGAATCCTTATAATTTTCTCTGCTTGTTTTTTTGTTTCTTTGTCAACGAACAGTACGTTTTCCTTGGGTGAGATGAATGCAAAAATAAAATAAATACACAATTATATGGAATTTTTTTTATTTCAAATTTGAAATCACTGTTATCAGCATTAAACTGTTTAATCGTTTGACATAAAATGTTTCAGATTGTTGGGTATGAATGGATTGTCGGTCTCAATCGATAGGCTGAGCCGAATGTTTCTCTTGCTGATTTTGCTATCTGTTGTTATTTGCAACATTAATAAATTAAAGTAAACAAAACAAAACGTTTATTTATATGTAAATATGTATGTTGTTTAAGTTGAACTTGTACACATAGCCAGACTCTTTATGTGTGTGTTTAACTCACACTGGCTGATAATTTTGTGATTATAATTATATGTTAATTAACGAAAAAAATATTTTTTCGTTTATAAATACAAAACGTAATAGCATTAGTTGACGTCGTTATAAATAATGAATTTCATTAAATATAGCGAATATTTCTCAGACATGAATTTATTTATTTTAGGAATTTTTTGAGATTTTAATTAATTTTATAATTTAATAAAAAAAAATATAAGTCTCTAATAAATTTTGGAAAATCTGTGGACGAAATTCAAAATTGAGCCACTTAATACTTCTAGTAATTCAAATATTACTATTTTATTCTGTGGAAATTCAAATGGAATTCCAGTATGAAATTCTGAATTCAATAGTCATTATTAGCAATTCAAAAGTATAAGTACTTAACCACGTATGAATAATATTCATTATAAATTATATTACTCATACGACTTGTTATATGACAGAAATCATTGTCATTCATACTTTTAACATAATTTGTGGTTTTTCTAAAATCAATCTAACAATGATCAGTGAAAGGAAATTTGAGTAAACCTTCCTCAAATGTTTAAAAATTGTCAGATTTGTGAAAAAAAACTAAAATATTTACTACATCACAAACGTAAGTGAGACCGAATCGTATAACTATTTCCATTTAAAGATCGCGGAAAAACATAAGGGGTCTCTTAGGTTTTCTCACCACACGTGTTACTTGCGTAGATGAATTTGACGGAATTAAAAATTTGAGTAAATTAAGGAAATCCTGACAAGTTTAGATTTTCATCAAATTGAAATTTCTGTCCTTGCTTTAAGCGCAAACAAGTTGTTGTTGAAATGATAAAATCATCACATAAATTCACATTTAAATAAAAAAAGGAAATCTACCTAAAGGCATTTATAAATAAATAAATAATGAGTATGTGTGTTTGAATACGTAGTATGTTCCTCTTTCTCTACCTCTCATGATTTTTTTAATATAAAAGATAAATATCACGAAAATCGCAAAACGGAAAAACTAAGTTTTTCCATCTTTTTTTTACAATGTAAAATGTTACTTTTTGACTTGTCACCATTTAAAGTTTTCTTAACAGAAAAACTTTAGGATTTTCCTGTTTCTTTTAAATTGTAAAAGAAAAGGTGGAAGGATATTGCAGTAAGAAGATTCATATTGATTTTAAACAGATTAAAAGAAAAAAAAGAATTGGACAAAATCTTTACACGATTTAAATGTCTCTGTTTTGCGCTTGTAGAGTGTATCTCTTTGTCATGTCCTCTTCTTTCTGTTACGTACAGTTTTCTAGTGTCTTGTCTTTAGGTCTCATAAGTGTGCTTATTTCGGCCTTAAATAGTACCTACTTTATATTTTTGCACTCGCACATAATGGGCAAGAAAAGTATTCCAAAGAAAAATACATTTTCTTTTAACGTCTTTTTATTTGCATGTGTGTGTGCGCGTCTTATTTAGAATAAAGTAAAAATAAAAAACACAATTGCAAAATAGCGATGCATTACAATTTGTACGGAACTTTTTTTATGACACAAAAAACAACTACAACATACATATGTATAACCAACAAACATCTTACGAAAAGGGCAAAAGGTATTCTATTGAGTTCATGGTTGCTACTAACTACTAACACATAAATAAATACTTTCACACAGATTAATACACATACATACATTCACACCAATAAACCACTTCTACTACTTGCATAAACGTGGGAATGTGAATGAGTGAATAAAACGAGCATGGGACGAAATGTATAAATTTTGAATGGTTTTTATGTCGGTCGCTTGACTGCTTATATTCTTCTATATGGCAAAAGGATATAAAGTGATGATGCTCCCAGAATTGTATGTTAGGTCCTACGTGAAAGCTCGTTCATTCATTTACTCACTCACTCACAAACAGAATACAGAGAAGCGGTATCATGATGATGCTGTGGTTGGAAATGCTGCAATGAACAACTGAATTATTTACGAAGTACGAACTACTAAAACCAAAAACAGACCCCACTTCCGCACAACGAACATACTATATGTACGAATGTAGGTATTTATTAAATGTGGCATAAAAGCAAGCACTAGAAGTACATTCCACATACAATATTATGGAAAAGACTTCAAGGATAAATAAATATAAATTATTAAATAGAATGAAAAAGAGAATTAATTGAAGCGAAAAAGTTAAACATAATAAAGTAGAAGAGGATTCATTTACATACAGGGATATAAAAATAATACATACCAACACATTTGCATATATATGTACGTTAGGGAATAACTATTTGATAATTCAGTGCTTCTTAATGTAGGGTGTACCTCTCGCAAGGGGACAATTACTGATTGTGTATATGTAAAGTTCACACTTTTACATATAGCAGTAATAAGTCACTTCCCTATCATATTTCGGTAATTTTTGATGAGAGCTCAAATTATTTTTAAGAGCAAATATATGGTACATATTTCTGTTGATTAAATTTCGAGTCCCAACTCGTTATCGAAATAATTTTTGTATGACCCTCGTGGTATCTTGGACGAAAATTTAATGTTTCCTTAGTATTTATCTTGAATTGGCACATTTATACCACACGTGGATAATGCATTGAGGAATATACATACTATGATGCCTCAAAATCAAATTTGCTGATGTTTCCAAATGAAATGAAATTGTAAAAATTTATCGGATTTCATGACTATTTTCATCATGAATGGAGCTTTCAATAAAATTGTTTGTTTTTAATTAAAAGTTTAAAAAATTAACTTTTTATCCAAAAAGGACATTTACATTTGTTTTGAGTATCACCCTAATATAATTATTATCAATATAATTTGTGTGATTTCATTCAAGTCACATTGTTTGTTCATTACTTTTAATGTTATTATAGCAGTTGTCTGTTAAATTCTTAAACACTCTATTTCTTATTTTAATTTTAAATTTTTATTTCAATTTTATTCCGTATTATGCAAAGTTATTCTTTAAAAGTTTATATGAAAATGTATTAACATTGTGGCTTCCAAGTAAATGTTACCAATGTTCATTGTACGTACTTATATGAATATTAAAAATTTGTTATTCTGCCTTTACTTTAAAAATTAGTTAGGAGTGTTTAATGTGAATTTATGGATTTATATTCAATAAAATTTATTTTTTAAAGCTATACAATTATGTATTTGTTTAGCAAGTTACATTTTATGTATTTACATAAATTTCAAAGCCAATTTGATATATTTGTTTGGCGAGTCCTCAATACAATAAAGCTTTGCTCCTGGTTTCATGCCCAATGCTATTTTCAGAGTAGACAATATATGTATGTAGATATTATTTAGTCATATACTATATAATATATATAATATATATATATATATATATATATATATATATATATATATATATATTATATATATATATATATATATATATATATATATATATATATATATATATATATATATATACATATATAATTATACACTATACCACAATAGTTCTGATGGTATTATGCGTTTGTAACACCCAAAAATATTGGACGAAGCCTATTGACAATGGTTTAAATCGGTACTTTATTTCATTTAGCCCGCAGAACCGCAGGCCTCGAACATAGACCCCATGCAAAGTCTCCTTCAAAAAATTATAAATAATTTACTTATAAACACTAGTATCAATATGAAATTCCCTCTACTAAAATTTGGGTTTGTCAACAAACCCCAAAATCGAAAAAGTTTTAATCGTCTACATATTTCAAACTAATTCACCAATTAAAATAAAATTTTGGATTTGAATAGCCTGTAGTGTTCTAATTTAATTCTAATAAATAGATTTTTAATTCTTAATTTGCATTAAAAAAATGCTTTAGAGCATAGTCGGAGAAAATTAATTTTGTACGGATATGCACGAGACTTTCGTCAAATGCTGCTTAGATAATATATTCTATTCTGTCATTCTCATTATCTTTAAACATTATCTAATAATTGACCAATATTTATCTAACGGACGTCATAATCGTTATTTTGAGGGATTATTTTTTCTTTGTAGAAAATATTTTTTTTTCTAATTTTAGCACATTTTAAAGATCATTTAATTGAGTCTCTGGCATTATGACCACTGAGTAGGTGTGGACAAAATAGCGGGTTTATACTGTGAAATCATACAAATAGTAACGTCCGATTTTCAAAGCATTCTTCTCCATAATTTTCACCATTGATTTAACTACATTTAAAAACTGGTTTTCATTTAAGCACACATGAACAAATTGCTGGCTTAACAAGGTCCTCTTTCGGAAATTTGGACTTTATTTTCTATTTACAACGATTACAAATTGTTCGATTTTGGTGGGTTCAACCTTTAATTTTCTCTAGTTTTATTATTCATATATTTATATTAATACTATCTTTAATCGAAAGCATAATTAGAAAATTTCATATAAATACTGTAAAATAATTATCCTCTTTTTAAATCTATGATATTTCTTCTTAAGTATTGTCAAACTATGGTACAATAAATAACAATTAACTTGAGACCAAAATTAATAAAAAAAATTAAATGAAAAGTTTAATTAAAAATTTCAAACCAAAATTAATAAATAAATTAAGGTTAAAACCGTAATTTAAATTTTTATAAAATTTAAACCATAAAGAATTTTAAATTTAGTATTTATAAAAAGAATGTATTTTTCTATTATTTTTATCAACACTGTATAACTTAACACTTAAAAATGGGAGTAATATGGAGCCAACAATTGCAACTCAATGCAATTCCAGTCATGCGATTTAGGTCATACGACTGTGCGTGGAATCTTTTTAAATATTTTGTAAATAGGTATGTATATATGTATGTATGTATGTACTCTAATGTTCATCTATTTATTATTTACTGCAGATTGTTGTAGGCCCATAATAGATTATTGTTGTGAAATTGTGACAACATTATAAAGAAATGTTTTTACGGACTATGAGTACGTTTTCAGTACGAATATTTATTATAATTATCTATATACTATATTTTAAATATGTACATATGTAGTTTATTTGAGTATAAATACTAGTACTGTTTATAATAACATTACAAAAAAACATATAAAGATGATTTGTTTATGCGTGTGTGTTTCAAGAAAAGGACATATGTTTTATATTCGATTTAATTCAATTCAATTCGTTTTGTTTTGTTTGATTTTTATTTCCATCAATACTCTGTCTTCCGTTTTGCTTTATTATTATTTTTTCTTGTTGTTGTGTTTGTATTTTTTTTTTCTTTATTTTTTGCGTTTTTATGAATCATACGCTGGAAAAGACCCCAACTAACACAGTTTTGCACTCATGGAATAAAAATAAAAATAATAATAACACCGCCAGAAGGCATTTAGTAGGCAATGTGTTGAGTAAATAAGAACGTAAGAAAAATAAAAGCGTTAACAAAGTACGAAGTTGGATATTGAAAAATTCGAGGGGTGGAGAGGAAGGAGGTTAATGTGTTCCAATGTTTAGTTACGAATTCAATGGGAGCTGGTAAATCTTGTCGTGGAGTGGTGTGGCATGCTATGGCATGGCATGACATAGCACCCAAATAACACATATAAACACACACATACACTTATGTAGTTTTATGCATACTTCTATGCATGTGAATGGCTCCAAACAACTGAAATAGCAAAAACAGCATTAAGAAAGTCGTCACGTGAAAATATTGGAGTTTTTCTTCATTTTTTCACTTTTATTGAGTTCAAATCTTAAAAACGATTTTTCAACACACACACACACACACACACTAAAAAAGTTAAATGCACGATTGTTTTACACATTTTTCTCGTATATATTTCATGTAGAGCTACTTAGATTAATAATATAAAGTTTTGTTTTTAATTTAAATAAATATTTTTAATTTGTTTAAACCAATTTTTTAGTAAATATTTATAGTGTATGTTAGATTGGAGAGACATAAATAATTATTGTATATATGTACATACATATTATATGTACATATATACGATATACATATAGTACATATACATACGTTTGTATATTATATATGAGTTTATATATTATGCATATATTTTTTAATATATTTTCTGTTTATTTTAATAACTATACTACCGTTGTTTAAAATTAATCCTTGTTTCCAATGGAAATATTTTAAAAATTTGTTTTTTTTTATAACTTTGCTTAAATTTAGGCCACTATCATAAAAAAGTTTCTAGGCTCCTTGTTTTTTCTTCAACTTTTTTTTTCTTTTTACTCCACTTTTTTAATTAGTTTTTTTCTTGTTTATGAATTTAACCGTTTTCTAAAACAGAACGTTTAAGCGTTGAAACAGCTCACTTACGTCTGAATGGTGACGGCAGCGTATGATGTGAATTTTCTTTTAACAAATTGAAATGCGAACTTATGTCCTGTTTCCGCATATTAGACTGCCAATTTTTCGCTCTTTAAATCTCGTGTTTTTATAAAAATTTGACGCATGCGTTTGTCGAATGAGAATTTTAACTCGCACATCATAACAAATCAAATATATTGTTTTTTCCACTTACTAAAGCGTGCAGTTTGACACAGTTTGTTATTTATTTTTTATTTGGCCCTTTCATCACTTGTTTTGTTTTTGATTTTCTTAACAACTCCCTGCCGACACCTTTTCCACGAAAAAAAAAAATGAAAATATTAAGTCAAAATCAATACTAAATTCAAATTATTTTTAATGCCACAATTCCAACAAATGAAATCAAAAATATTTAAATTACATTTAAATAATAATTTAAATAAATAAATCTTGCTTTAGATTTGTTAACAGAAGATTTCATTTATTTAAAGTTCATTTTGCAGGTTTTAACTAAACAACATCTACTTAATCATTGTTGGGGTTAAACGAGAATTTGCTCGGAAAATAACGAAAAATGTAATATAGTAATATGTATGAGTTTATGGTAATTAAGAAACACTTTTTTTACCCGGCAATACTGAGAACTAATTCCACATTTGTTGTGTGATATTTTAAGAATCATTCATTGGATTCAATCACAAACTCGCTAACTCATTAAAACATTTTATAATCGAAAAGTGTCTTTCATTATTATAAATTTAGTGGCCGCGAAATTAGTAGTTCCATGAGCTGTTGGGTTTGTACAGTGTACACAGATTTGAACAAAATGTATTTGCAGTGTTGTGAGAGTGTATTTAATATATTAACTCTTGTACAATTTCGAAAAAGTAGAGAACACCCGACACAAGAGAGAGAGAGATAGAGTGAGAGAGAAGTAAGAGACGTTGAGAACTATTTGGTTTCACCTTCCATTTGCGAAAAATGTGTTCCACAATTTTAAGTAAAGAAATTTTCAATATTACATCCTGTTTGCTACGCACAGTAGGTTCGATGGCAATTAAAGTGGCGATTAATTCGGGAGAGCCGTAGTTTTAATATGTATATTTTAAAATTTTTTTCAACAAATTAGTAAAAATTCATTAAAAGACATCTTCTTACAAAAACTTTTTTTAGGTGAAATTGTGTAAATATTTCAGTTAAATAAGTGCTCAAATTATTCTGGACGATACAGTGGTGTTGGGGGACACATGTCTTAATTCTTCCAGTGGGAACATATGCAATTCCCATTTTCGGGCCACTTAAATTTAAATTGACATAAATAATAAAAATTATATTTTCTTATTTACGAAATAATCATGAGTGTAAATTTTACTTTCATAAATAATTTAATTTCTTAGTGCATGTATTATATTGCAGTTTAGTCAAACCTGTCAATGAAACTAGAGAGAATAATCTTCAAAAACTATTCAAATTGTTACCCACATCCTCGATAAATTCGTTTTGAATGAGCTTTCATACCAGAAATAAATTTCAATATTTAAGTGAAATGTACTAGATCTCTTCATATTCGATATCGAATGACAAAATGGAAAAATACAATTAATTTTATTTTACAATGATTTAAAAAACAATTTAAACAAAAATACGTTCATTGTATTGGAAAAACTTAAAAACGAGGACTAAGACTTTTTGCATTATTCTATTTCTGCTTGCAGAAAAAAAGTTTGAAGTATTTTTTTTAAAATACACAGTACAAACATATTTAGTTGCGTTATGTGTTATATACTATGAATGAATGAGATCTTAAAAATACTCATTCTCATATGTAAGGAATTCCAAAAATACAGACTGTAATTACACAATACGATGTATTAAGTATCTATGAATGTACGTTCATATGTACATATGTATGTATGTAACAGTTATGTTGGTAGTAAGCATGCATTATTGGTTAGTTGGTTCGCTGACACGCTGGTTGCCTGGCTGTTTGGTTAGCTGACCGGCTCATAGTATGAAATATTGACTGGCGTTAATGTATGACCCAGTTAGAGCGTATTATATGCACGATTACATACATACATTCATAATGTATTTATGTAAAAGTATTTTTTGTTTTTCTTAGATTTCAAATTCAGTTTAATACTACTAAACGATGTCGCGCTAAAGTAATTTCCGCAGGAGTACAAAATTTATTAATTAAAAACTGGTTACGTTTTGCGAAGAGAAAAAATCAAAGTACATAAATGGCCAAAACTTGGAAAATACACCATTAGATTTATTTCTTACACACAAGATTTAGAAAAAATAGAAAAATCCAAAAGCAGAACCATTTCTTGACATGACAAGTTTTTTGATCGTTGTTGCACTTTTTGTCAATTTGTCTAAAGGCAAAAAGGTAAAATCAAAAGCTTTTATATCATCGATTGTGTGTGTGTATTGCCATAAAGACATGAAGCAAAAAGCATTCACACAATTCGCAACTCAAGCTTTAACTATGATTTTATTTGGTACTCGCCAACTAAACCAAAGCTTCAATTCCAAACGAAAATATTTAATAAAAGCCCAGGCCTTAAGGCGAAGTAAAAAGATTTTCAGTACAGATTTTGTTAAAAGAGCATCGAAATTTATCTGCAACCCAAAAAAGAAATTATAATTAGCGTTTGTCTTGTTGAGTGAAATAATAGTTCAAAATAATTAACAATGAATTTTTCAAGTGCCATACAAATATTAAGCATCTTATCTTTAATCGTAGTAATTAAATCATTCCCGGACGGTGCTCCTTCCGATACTTGTGTTAAGAAACGTCCGAATCAACCAAATCATGGACAAGCCAGATCTCAACCGCTTGATAAAAATCCCTACGAAGTAGTGGCCAGTTCAGAAACATTTCATCCTGGTCAGGAAGTAACAGGTAGACAGACATAAATTGTCTGCAAATTTCTAAAGTGACTAAGAAAATATATTTGTTATTTTTGTGTAGTGGTCATTTATCCGCATGGTAAACAAGAGTTGTTCCGTGGCTTTTTCCTTCAAGCACGCGATGCTGATTCTAACGAATGGATTGGGGAGTGGCAACGCAGTGAGAATACAAACACTATACCAGAATGTTCGGCCATAACACACGGTGACAATCGCGACAAGCTGGCAGCGAAACTGATATGGAAAGCTCCACAGAACAAGCGTGGACGAGTTTATTTTACGTAAGTAAACGTCTGCTTTTTTAAATGCATTAAGTCAGGCAACAAATTTGATTAAGTTACAAATAGTTCTGAATATGGTGTACTCTAGATCTGAAGACTTAAGTTGCAAAAGTTATATCTACATATATATGTACATACATATGTCGAGTTATTTCGATCTATTGTCAACCATATTAAGAACAGCTTTTAATTAAATGTGAGCAATGAAAAGGCATAGTCGCAATGCATTCTTTATATTCTTTATATGTTGAGCTGTAATAATGAACAAGTTTCATAATTAATTACTTTTATTTTTTAAATTAAAACTTGCCTCTTCGGTGACCATTGTACACATATCCAGTTTGGCTTAAGAAACAAGAAATCAAATTTGGAATGAAACTAGATACGTTAAAAATTTCATGTCAATGAATTTGCAGCTAATCATTCAACGGTCATTGATATAATTGTGAAACTCCCTTTAATAAAATATCAAAGCACGTTCCTTAATTTGTTAACACGAATGTTAAACAATATTTGGAAATTTAATTTAAAATATTATAAACAATATTAATGTCTGTTAAAAATAGTTTTGAATTATAACATTTTAATTAACGTTTTGAATGTGTTGATCATCTTAATGATCCACTTATCTCTGTTTCACTTTTATTGATACAAATCTTCGAAAGAATGAAATATGATATAAATATTTTATCATGGAATGAAATAAATTTAAAATTAATTAATTCTCAATTCGGATTAAAATTATAATTTAATGTTTAAAGGAATATATTCTGCATTCAATTAATAACACAATTCAATTAATAAAGGTATCTTCGCCCTGTTATAGCCCCTCAAATATTTTTCTAATCCTCTGCCCTTTAGAAAAGTAAACATTGGTTTCCGTATTTTGATTTTTTGTAAAATTTTGTTGGCATGTGTAATCACTGCGATTTAATTCAACTACATCGAATGCTTTAAGAATGATAACTCAATGAATGCTTTAAAGAACTGAATATTCCATAAGAGTGTGTATCTTTATTAAGTTTTTACTAAGAATTTTGAAATAGAACTTATATTTTATATATATGTTTGTATGTATATGCAGGTGGAAAGATAAATATTTGTGTGCATTTCTTGCATTTCATTTTAGTAACTTTTAATTTTAACAAGTATGAGAGTGTTATATTCAGCGTTGACGAAACTTTATGTCCTTCCCCATTGTGTATTTTTATAAATATTATTTTTTAAATTTAAAAAAAAGACATACAGACAGACATAGCTTAACCGACTTCTTAGTTTATCGGATCGAAACTTATATTTTAGAAATTACAAACGAAATGACAAACCCTTTTCACGTAGATGAAGGCAAAAAATATAATATAACAATTTATAAGACTTTGTAAAGTTGAAAACAAAATATGAAATAATTTCATGAAAAATATAAAAATCAGACCCGCTTTTATAAGAAAATAAAAAAATGAAACCAATATTAAGAATTTTGGGCACAATCGTATGTTCCAATATATTTAATAGCATGACTTATAAATTTTTAAAAATATGTATTTTTATATCATATTTATTTTTCTTTTCTTTCTTTTAGTGGCACAGTTTTAAAAAGTTATGGCACTTTCTGGAGCGATATTATTGGCAAAGTTCAGAAACATCAATAATATTTTAATAAATTTTATTTCAATGATAATAAATATTTTTAAAATCATATATACTATATTACTGTATTAAATTAATACAAACTAATAATTCATTGTTTTTTCTAACATGTTTGCCAAATTTGCAAAATTTCATTAATACTGATTTGTAAATAAAAATAGACTTATTAAATAAATTGTATATTATTGAAAGGTAATTGTGTACAAA